AACCAAGACATTTTGGGGTTCAAGAGACTCATTAGGGCATTGCACACCAGCCTAGTATCCTACAGAAAACACAAAATGTCCAACAACACCTGTTAATAACTGAGAAACAGTTGAGGAATCAATGTGGTATTGATTTCTCATCTTTTTCAGAAGGGTGATGACAAACATAAGGAGCATTACATCTGAAAGGGAACAGCATTCCATGGGGAGAACGATGTTCCTGTAGAGAAGTGCATTGGGCTTCAAAGACAGGCATATAAAAGAGGTTTGCCAATTTGACACAACACACTGCCGAGGGCACCATTGAAAGATAAATTACATTAAAAGCATGTTGGGCAGCAAATGCAAATAGCAAAATCTTCATACTTTGCAGCGATCTTGTCAATATATATATATATTTGTAGATTTCATCATAGTTATAAAACATACTGTATGCACAATATATACATCATATGTTCAAATCATATACTTAAGAGATATTAAGATGCACAAAACACATTGTAAACAGACTAATTTGGGCAGTACTTTTGTAGTGTCAGATGTTTGAAATCTCCATTAGGCTCTTGTCCATCGTTTCTTGGTTGATGAGATTTAAAGGAATCTCACTGTCTAACCTCTTCTTTTTCGGTTTTCTTTTCTTGCAGCAAATGAACGTCACCAACGACAAAACGGTCAGAAACAATCCCAGGCAGGTAACTGTCAATGCAAGTAGTAACACTTGGTACTCGCCACACAGATTTGGCAATTGTTCACCCTTCCTCCCTTCCTTATCTGGAGGAAGCTCACCATGGTCAATATCTACACTTCTGGGCAACAAACTCTGAATGAGGGTCTCATTGCTGACTGTCTCGTTCACAAACAGGTTGACCAGTACAGTAGAGTAGAGTTCTGGTTGACCGTGGTCCCTGACTTTGACCCACAAACTGTAGAGGCCTCGATTGCTCAAGGCTTTCCTCAAGGTGATGTTTCCCGTGTAGGGGTCAATGTCAAATGAGCCCGGCTCTCCGTCTGTTCTCTTGATGATGCTGTACGCAATAACAGCGTTCATCCCCGTGTCCCGGTCCACAGCGTAAACCTCCGTTATAGACGTTCCTGGAAGCGTGTTGGGAAGCACTAACATGTACGACTGGTTGGACTGGGGGAAAAGAACAGTTGGAGGGTTGTCGTTGACATCCAGGAGGAGAACAGTCACCATTGTGATGCAAGAAAGAGCAGGTTCGCCTCCGTCAATTGCCTCGATCCAAACGTAGTACTTTCCCTGTTGCTCCCGGTCCAGAGTGGTCTTGGCCCGCAGCGCTCCTCGTCCGGTGTCAATTACGAAGATGTCGCTCCCATTAAGAATGGACAACGCCACCCAGCCGTTCTCCCCAGCATCTGCATCCGTAACAGTAAGAGCGCCAATTTCCCCAAAACCTGGAAAGTTCTCCGGCACAAAGAAGGTGAAGTCCTTGTTGATGAACCGCGGACTGTTGTCATTGCGATCCTGGACGGTGATAATCACAGTGGCGATTGACTCCTTTCTCGGCGTGCCCCGGTCTACGGCCCGCACCATGAATCGGTACGTCTCTTTTTCCTCTCGGTCAAGAGAAGTGGACACTATCAGTACCCCGGTTGACAGATCCAAGTCAAAAATGGTGGGAGCGTCGGCACCGAGTAGGTAATACACCTCACCTCTGCTTTCACTGTCTGCATCGGTGGCCTGAAGCTGAGCGAGGAACGTATTTGGTGGGTTGTTCTCCTCCACTGTGATATCAATGAAGGATTGCTTGAAAACCGGAGCATTATCGTTAACGTCCAACACGTGGACTTTCACTACGGTGTTCACTACTAATCCATGAGAGTTACGAACCACAACAACCATTTCATAATCCTGTTGCTGCTCATAATCCAATAGCTCGGTGGTCTCAAGCAGGTACTCGTTTTTAAAACGCTCATACGGTAAAAGCCTAAATGGACCTGTACCTTCAAGAAGACACTCTATCTTCTGTTGTGGCTCAGTGTTTTTGATGGTAAACAAAGCAATGGGTGAAAACGATGGCTCTGACTCACTTATACTCACAACACCGTCCTTCTCAGAAGCAATGTAACGTGGGATAACCACCGGAGGGCCGGAGAGCTGTTTAATGACGTGAACGGTAACTGTTGCAACTTCTGGAATACAAGTCGGCCCATTGGCCAGCACGATTAGTTTGTAGAGTTTTCTGGTGTTGTTGTCAATCTTTCCTGCTAGTTTAAGAACCCCTGTGTTTGTATCCAAATGAAACAGGTTTCTGCTTTCCTGGGTGACCCGTTCACTGAAGGTATACGTGATCAAGGCGTTGGCTCCCTCGTCTGGATCGTAGGCTTGTAGACGAGCCAGTTGCATGCCCTTAGTAGTGTTTCCGTAAACAGTAACGTTCACTTGCGACTCTCTAAACTTGGGGCAGTTGTCGTTGACATCCGTGATGATAATCCTCAGAGTTGCAGTGCCTAGAAGCGGCGGAGAACCTCCGTCCTCGGCTATAATGTCAGTCACATACTCCGCTTGCGTCTCCCTATCAAGATACTCGGTAATGATGAGAAAGGGCGTCAGTTCACCGCCTTCGTTCTCCTCTACGTCTAATGTGAAAACGCCATAGTCATTAACAAGCCAGTATGTTTGAACGCTGTGAATCCCGATGTCAGGATCCACTGCGGATTGCTCCACCGCAAACCTTGCGTTAACAGGTGCGTTCTCCGGCACAGACACCCTGATTTCATCGACAGGGAAATGCGGATGGTTGTCATTCACATCCTCTATAATGATTTTAACCTTAACCAGCTGAAAGTACTGTTGAGGAAGGATTAGCACGTCCAGAGAGATTGCGCAGCCCTGGCCCTCGTGGGACTCCACGCACAGAGCCTCTCTGTCAATCTCCACAGCAGATGTGAACAGCTCCCCCGTCGTGTTATTCAGATTCACGTACTGCTGGCTGGCCGTCTTTAGCTCCAGATTGAATGAGCGAGGAGGATTGACGGAAAGATCCAATTTTAAGTCCGCACTGACAGCCCCTATGAGTGTCCCTTTAGGTAATCCTTCTTTTATCTTATAGATGAGGTGACTGAAATTTGACGAGCAGGAGAGAGGACTGGTGTACAACAGAAGGATGAACAAACCCTGAAATAAATAACAGAAAAACTATTTAGAAAGAAGCAACAGAAGTTAAAAAAAAACATCACACTGGCAAGTATACATGGAAATTGTCAAGAAACCATTGTATATATTTACTGCAAATATCTTTTGCATATAAATTATGCATTAAGCACATCAAAAGCAATTCGGTTTAACATTACTGTGTGTGTGCTGGGAAGATGGTTGGACTAAATCTACATGCATCCTTACTGATATGACAAAATATTTACCCAATTATTTACCATGATAACCATAATTTCTGTCATAGTTTCTCTCTCTCTCTCTCTCTGTATATATATATATATTTGGATGAGAGTGGTGGTACCACAGTTTTAACTAATCACAAAGATATTTTGACAGAAAATATGATTATCACTGTACAAGGGACTGCAATGAACCTGCAAACGAAATCATAATACTATATACTCACATGTAATTTTTGTTAACGCTTATAAATCCTTGAATAATAGGTTATTAACATAAAACAATATGATCCAGAATGATCCCTCCAAATACTTATTAGAATTGGAATCATATATCTAATAAGTATTTGGATTATATATATAAAAAAGTTTATTATATAAATGAAAGATATTATAAAGAGTAACCAATTATTTACTGTTAAGAGAATTCGATGCCATGATGAATGCAGTTTTCATGAGTGTAAGAAACTCACCCATAACTCTCCTTTGCTGTGAAGGCGGGTTGCTCTTTTAGTGTTCCGCATGTTTCCCGTTCAGTGTTGGCGTCACAGGGAACGGGAGCGGGATGAGTTCACAGGCGCAGCCGCATTCTGAGCGCCGGAGAGCGGCTGAGTTCTCGCTCGCTGCCCGATGCGCGACTGAAGCGCTCTACTCATTCATCCGAACAGACAGGCTGTGGACACGCCCACTGCATGCTAATGAGCGCTGGCGCGACCAATCAGCGTTGACACAGAGTGGGAGGAGGAGTGTCTAGAAACAACTCATTTGCATGTTAAATATATTTAGACGTTTAAAGGGATAGTTCACCCAAAAATGAAAATTCTGTCATCATTTACTCACCCTCAAGTAGTTTCAAACATGTATGAATGTCTTTGTTCTGCAGAACACAAAGGAAGATATTCTGAAGAATGTGGGAAACAGAGCACTTCTGGGGCACCATTGACTTCCATAGTATTTTTTTCTCCTACTATGGAAGTCAATGGTGCCCCAAAACAGTCTGGTTACAAACTTTCTTCAAAATATCTCCCTTTCTGTTCGGCGGAACAAAGACATTTATACGGGTTCGGAGCTACTTGAGGGTGAGTAAATGATGACATAATTTTCATTTTTGGGTGAACTATCCCTTTAAGTAGTTTTGGGCTGAATTATAATAATTTTTTTTTGGTTAAGAAAACATCAGCATGACATTAATTATAGAAATTAAAATAGTGCTGATAATACGAATTCTATTTTCTCTACATTTCTGAATGCATTTAATTATGCAAATAATAATAATTCAGTTTTCTCTACATTTCTGAATTAATATAACTATGCTAATAATAATAATAATTCAGTTTTCTCTTAATTTTTAATTCTGCCCTAGCTTTTCTATCCCTGTGCATAACCCTTAATGCAAATTGCTTGTGGTTTTATAAGTCACTTTGCATAAAAGTGGCTGCTAAATTATTAAACATAAATCTGATGTATATGATTATGTAGGCCTACATACAGTATTCACTAATACAAATCTGGATTCAGCATAGAATACGCTTCTTATCAAGAACTTTTTTATCTATAAACATTTCTTTAGAGATTCAAAAGTTAATCGGAGATCCTCATGAAATGATACAAATGTGCATTAAAGCATATGAGTTATATTAGACAGCTCAGATGATCAGCATTGCGGTAATGTATTTCCTGATGGAAGGAAAGCAGAAGAGAGCAGATCCGCGTTTGCAGCCCTGCTGTTGAGATTACATTAATTCCCCATTTACAAAAAACTCACCAAAGCTGATAAATATGACTCACTTTCTTTGTCTCTGTCACACCTGCTGAACAATTACCAAACACTTCTTTATGTGCTGCGTCTTAACCCCTTTTTTCTTTTTAACCTTTGCATTTGTCTTGCTTTCCAGAGCATCACATGAGTGATAATGTGAGGATTACAGAAGGAAGAGTGTACAGGATGACCCACCAAATCAACTCGCCTTAATCTGAGCGTTTTTAACCTCATCAACAGATGCTGGCTGTGATTGAGAACATATGGATGGATGGATGGATGGATGGATTGATGGATGGATGGATGGATGGATGATAGGATGGATGGATGGATGGATGATAGGATGATAGGATGATAGGATAGATGTTTTTATAAAAAATGTTTTTCATGAATTTATTAGATGTTATTAGATGTCATTTTAGTTGTTAATGTTTTTGCAATGTTTTTTCTATTCATCGGTTGTTTATTTAACTTTGTGTGTGTATTGAATGATGCTTTTAGAAAATAAAAAAATATGCATGGATTAATCGTTTGCAATAAGATCAATAACATGCATTTACAAAATAGATGGCGAATTTTCATTTCATGCAAACTTTAATTGTACTCTGGCTGGCTGCTTAAATGGTTTAGACTAGTGTTAAAAGTTAGTTTCTTATTTGAGTTAAAAAAATACAAATAAAAATGACAAAATATTATATATATCAGGGTTATTGTAGTTATCTAAAACTAAAACCATAAAAAACATGTTCATTACTTGGATCAAACTAAACGTTAACCAAAATAAAATTAAACATAATAAAGTAAAACAACAACAATTCTTGCCCCATACGGTCAGAGAATTCACCAGCAGCACGATGAACTCTCCGTTCTCCATCCCGATGGACACCATCTCACCGTTCGGACTGTACGCTGTGCACTTTGCCGGATGACCCAGACTGACTTTATTCAGGAGTTTCTGGAAGACAAAAAAATTATTAACCTTCTGGTGCACATTTAACGGTTTTTTTTTTTAAAAGTATTTTTTACTTCAGAATGTTGTGAATCTTGGTAAAGGTTTTGGCACTTGTTATGTGAACACACACAAAAAAAATCATGATTCGAAAAACTAATTTCATTTTCATTTCAACGTTTGGTAGTGCGCCCAAACAAAATCTTATTGAAAGCTCATTTTTTAAGATATCAACCTCAAATTTGGAACACAACTTGTTTAGATTTATGGCTTTGATTTTCACACAGATTTACAGTAAAACATATTGAAAAATATATATTTCATATAAATATTTGAAAATAGTATTATTGTGCATTTTTCATAACAATAGACTTTTTTTATTCCCTTTTTTTTTAAGACCAAACTTCTGTGCTCCAAACTAGCATTCAAGATTTATGGCAGTTTAAGTTGGAAATTAAATTATGCTCAAAAAGTAGTTAACAGGAAAAATAGGGATTATAACTACAGCATAAGTATAATTTAGTACCATAAAATTCCATATAATTCCATAAAATATATATATATATATATTCAGTCATTTTTGACCACGGCACGAGGAGCACCAAAGGGTTAATAGATATACAGTACCGTTCAAAAGTTTGGTACGATTTTTTTTTTATGTTTATGAAAAGTCTCATGCTCACCAAGAAGATCTTTAAAAAAAAAAAAAAACAGTAAAAACAGTAATATTGTGAAATATTATTGCAATTTAAAATAGCTGTTTTCTATGTGAATAAATGTCAAAATATTATTTATTTCTCTAATCAAAGCTGGATTTTCAGCATCATTACTCCTGTCTTCAGTGTCACATGATCTTCAGAAATCATTCTAATATGCTGATTTGCTGCTCAAGACATTTCTGATTATCATCAATGTTCAAAACTGTTGAACAGTTGTCTGTGAAAACGGTGATACATTTTGTTTTTCAGGATTCTTTTATGAAGCTCAACAGAACAGGATTTATTTGAAAAAGAAATCTTTTGTAACATTATACATGTATTTACTGTAATTTCTGCTCAATTTAATGCATCCTTGATGATTAAAACTAGGCCATCGATATTTATTGACAGTACACCTTCTTCGATAACGATATAAAAAATGTTCAATATAGTGCACGATATAGGCACGTGCTATGAGTGATGCAGACAGCACACACAAACATGAGTGCTGTGCCTGCCTGTGATGAGGCGGTTAGATTAATAAAAAAATGAATATTAGTCGAATTTAAAATAAACATTTGCATTTGAATGTTAGGTGCGCATCAGTGGCGCGTGAGATGCGGTGATAATGATGTAAGTGATGTTGTTGCATTTGAATGTTTTGTTAGTCTAGCCGACGAGATGCGCCGCTGCTGTGTTAAGCATTCAAAATATTAGAGAAATATAGAAGCTCAATGCGGAGAAGATCTTGATTAGGTTAAAACAGAAACCAAGCCATTCACACAGATGCATATTCAGCGCATTTTTAGACGGACAAATATGACTGCTGCACTCGTGTCTCACACAAGAGATGTAGCCATGCAAAGTTAAAACAGTTGAAACTTTTAGAAAACATGTCACGAATTTGTGGCGGTTTATTCCTTTTGACTGCGTCTCATATGTTTTTAAATGCAATCTGTGTGAATGGCTATTTGGCTCTTTGTATTAAGCAATGCATAAATACATGATGCTGTTTTGTTCATAATTGTTTATGCAATTTATGAAATTATATTTTATTTACATTAGCTAATTTAGACGTAATGCAAGTTTTTTTTATAGATAGTTATTTCCTTGCGTTGACAATTTAAATGTGCTGCATTATTTTGCTCATTGCGCCCTCCTGTGGCCTCGGGAGACAAGTCAAAATTTTCCTTAAGACCTATTTAATCTGCATATAAAACATTAGAAATGAGATATTTAATTTTTATTGTGGTTAAATAATTTTTTTTTTAATTTTGTTTTAAAAAAGGTTATAAAAAATGTCAATAATTATCGATACCGAATGATATGAAACATTACATCGATAAATTTTTTTGCTATATCGCCCAGCTCTAATTAAAACTATTAATTTCATAATCTTTTTGCCCCCATACTTTGGAACGGTAGAGTAAACACCCCTCCTTTCACTCTACTACCCATATTCCCTCACCTTATCCGCCAGGTCCCAGATGCGGATGGTTCCATCATCGCTGGCAGAAATGAAGACGTCTTTGGAGGGGTGTGTGGCCAGACCCCAGATGCGTCCCTGCGTGTGTCCGTTGATCATGGTGTTGGAGGCGGCGTTCTTCTCTCCCACCTCGATGATCTCGCCATCCTTCGTTCCCACCAAGATCTTTCCCTGCCATCCAATAAAGAAGCATCTTACCACTGTCTAAACTTACACTTGAAATCACTGCTTGTGTCTATGTGAAGTCTGCAGAAACCGAAAGCATGACTGACCTTTCCTCTGCACACAGATCTGACCGTCTCAACAGGAAGTCCTGTCTCCAGCTGAAACGCTCTACATCTCTTCATTTCCTGATCCCACAGTTTCACAGCGCCGCCCTCTTTAGTCCTGCACATACATAATATACACATCAGTGAGGCGATAACATGATGCTCATTTTTTGTAGTATAACTTTAAGAAAAAGTTTACCTTAAAAAATATTTTAAATCTGTACACTTACTTTAATTTCTATTTCTAATTTCACTTAATTTCTATTTCAAATAAATGTTCTTGTGAACTCTCTATTCAAATAAATAAAATTCAAAACCAAATAAATTAAGGTTTCCCCAAAAATTTAACATTGATGATTAAAATACATATTAGAATGATTTCCGAAGGATCATGTGACACTGAAGACTGGAGTAATGATGCTGAAAATACAGCTTTGATCTCAGAAATAAATTATATTTTAAAGTATATTCACATAGAAAACATCTATTATAAATAGTAATAATATTTCATAATTTTTTACTGTATTTATGATCAAATAGACATCTTTCAAAAACATTGAAAATTCTTACTTTCTCCAAACTTTTGAACTTTTATTCAAGGTGTAAGAATTTTTTTCTCAATGGTCAAACCTATTTAGCTAAAAAAAATTTTTTTAAAAACCATATGAGCCCAGCAGATGAACTTGTGTGTAATGTGTAGAGCTGAACTCACGGTCTCTCCTTGCCTCCGGTCACGATGAGTCCGTCTCTGAGCGTGGTGTACATGGTGAACACTGGTCCTGTATGAGCTTTAGCCACCACACGCACCAGGAAATGCTCCCGCCACACGTACACGTCACCGTTTATGGCCCCCGTGAACGTCAGGTTATTCTGCCAGACAAAACACACAAGAGAGAAAATGACCATTTCATATGCACATACTGTATATGTATGAAACATAATATACAGTAGTCTTATTGTTACTACATTATTTATGTAGTGCTTTATATAATACAGATTGTTTCAAAGCAGCTGCACATTAATAAAACAGGAAAATAACAGTGTCAATGATGTAACATTCATCCATTATAAAACTATTTGGGCTGCAAAAAAGATGTCATTATTCAGCTAAATTTAGATTTATTATAGTTTTGATTCGGTTCATATTACTATATGTATATATTCATATATATTTATATACATATACAATTTTTTGTCAAAAGAAACATTTGAGAGAGTATATATATATATATATATTTTTTTTTTTTTTAAATTTATTATTATTTCACACATTATTCTATAAATGTATGCTGTGTAACTACCAGGATTATTATAGTAAATTCAAATTACAACCACAAAAACTCATCTTTGTTACATGAAATAAAATAATAAAAAAACTAAAAAATAATTTCAGCTTGTTGCCAAAATATAAATATAAAAACTCATTCAAAATGAATGAATAAACAAACGCATATTTAAATGCAATAAATAACTGCATAAATACATGTAAAAATAAATGCACTAAATAAATGTATACAAGCTTAAACGAATGAATAAATACAAAAACATAAGTAAATGCTTAAACTACATATAAATAACTATAAATAAATGCAATAAAGCACTAAATGCATAGATAAGTGCATAAATTCATAAATAAATGCATATAAATAACCGAATAAATAAATGCGAAACTGAATGCACTAAATGCATAGAGATAAATGCATAAATGAATGAATGAATACATTAACATATATAAATGCATACTGCATAACTGCAAAAATAAACACACTAAATGCATAAATGCACTACATTCATAGAAAAATGCATAAATAAATGCATATAACATTGTGATGAAAAGCAGCAAATATTCATCACACTACACCTGCATGGCTTGAAAAAATAGCCTGTTACTGGAAAACTTAATCTAATTTGAAAACAATGTAGTTGTACAATATAGTGTAGTACAAATGAAAATGAAAATTAATTTAAAAAACCTTTAGTTTCAGCTAGTTGCCAAGGCAACTCTCATTTTCAATTAGTTAAAATTAATAAAAACTCTACAGACATATTTCAAAAAAATGATAATAATAAAATAAAAATGACAACACACAACAAAATGACTAAACTTTAATAAAAATTCTAATTGAATTAAAATGAAAACATTTAAAATAAATGTATAAAAACTGTAATGTTATCTCAATGATACTAAAATAGCACTGGTAACTACAATTATTCTTTAATAAAGAAAATAAATGATTTATATGCATCTAAACGGTCACTACTGTGCTTGTGAGCAACACAATTAACCCCAGATTGCATCATGGGAATTGTTCCTGTAATCAGTGTACTAAATAAGCATAAATGAGCGACTCACGGCTCCAAAGGCTACAGACAGCATGGTCTGCATGCGCCCGTCCTCCACCGCTCCGATCACACCTTTCTTGTAGAGCAGAGAGCCTCCCACCAGCGTCCAGAACTTGATGTGTTTGATCCCCACCGACACAAACTGAGTGTCCGAGTCAGGCCTGAACTCCACCACGAAGATCCGGTCGCTGTGACCGCCCTTACTGCAAACCCTAGAGCCTGAGATCACATGATGGAAGCATTCACAACAGCGTCCTGCTGCATCTCTGCTGAGCAAAGGCCATTACTTGTTTCTTTCTCATTTTGAGATGCTAATGTCAAAGACAGTGCCTATTTTAAAAGTCAGAATTGAGAGACATAAACTCAAAATTATGAGTGCCAGTGTTATTTTATTATCATTAAAATACCATTGTTTTTATTAATATTTAGAATTTTGATATTTTCCTTTTTCACTGTACTTTTAGTTGAAGTGTTAGTAATTTTGTTGTATGTTTTTATCATTGTTTTTTTCTTTTAAATACGTCTATGTAGGTTTTTTATTACTTTCAGTTTTAGCTTTAGCTATTTTAGTGGCTTAACTAAGTTCAAATAATTGAGAATGAGAAATTTTGCTTTGGTAACTAGCTGAAATTGTTTTATTTCAGTTAATGTTTTTTCATTTCTAGTAACAAAGATGTTTGTCGCATTGTTTTAATTAGAATTGTGTTTTTTTCTAAGTTTATTTAAATTTTTTTTGCAAGAAAAAAGTATGAATTGTGAGATGTTAACTCACAATTACGAGTTTATAACTTTATTTTCTTTATTAAATAATTGTTGTATTTTTATTAATATTTAGAATCTTTATCTTTATATTTTCCATTTTTGTTTTAATTTTCAAATTTTGGATTCCTGTCTTCCTCGAAGGAGATTACAACTATTTTTTCCATTCTCAGCCCATTTTCACATGTATGAATGAATCTTAATTTACGCCTAATCCTGATTTCAAGGACAGAATTATGGCCAAACATGAGCCAGATGTTTTCTGCATCATCTGTGGGTGTTTTTCTACACCAAACAGTGACAGAAGACAAAACAAAACAGCATATTTATTTATAAACTTGTTTATGTAAAGTTCTTTTACATTAAATGAAGCATTTAATCATATTGTTCAGCTCCTTTGCAGATTGTAAGTTCAATTATACATTTTGAATACTTCCTTTTGTCATTAAAACTGAAAGATTTGACTGCTTTTGTTATTTTGATAAGCTGATAAACATATCATTTGAAAAATCATTCTTATTTTGTGAACAAACTGCATGTGATGGTAAGTTTTATTCATATTTTTGAACTCAGCATCATCAAATTAGCTAATATTAGGCTTTTTAGCAAATCAGCAGAATTGTTTCCCAGCTGCAGGGCTACTGTAAGTACACACTGATCACTGGTTTTCACACACCTTCCTGCCATCTCCACACAGTGATGGTGTGCTCCGGATCCACTCCCACAGACAGCAGCAGTTTTCCTGTGGCGCTGAAGTTGACGTATCCGATCCCTTTAGCGTGAGAGCAGCGCAGCACCGACAGCGTCTGCTTGCTCATGGCGTCCCACACGTGAATGGACGGCGCCAGGCCTACAGACACACGCAGACACAGACCGACATCACATTATGACCGTAAATACTCAAAACTTAAGGAAAAACAGTGCCTCCCAAACTGCTCCTTTCAGCTCAAGACAAATAAAATCCATTAGGTGTATTAGAAGACACTGATTATGCAAATGTCGTGGGTTATTTATATTAATAAATAGCGTTGGGAAGCTACTATGAAACTGGCTTGAAGCAGCTGCACTGCAGTAAAGATGCATTTAGAAAAAGTAGTAAGCTAAACTACAAGCTACTAACAAGAAGCAGTTAACTAACCTATTTAAAGGGGGATTATTTAACTTCTTATTGAAGCAGAGCTGTATTTTTCTGGCATAAAACAATGATGCTATTAATACATTTTTTGAACTGACAAATTTACACTAAATGCAACAATAAATGCACTACATGTGTAGATAAATGCATGAATAAATGCATACAAGTTTAAATAAATTGATACATAAGCGTATAAATGCAATAAATAACTGTATAAATACATGTAAACAAACACAAACAAATGAATGAATGAATACAAAAACATAAGTAAATGCAAAAAAGCACTAAATGCATACATAGATAAATGCATATAAATAACTGAATAAATAAATGCAAAATTTAATGCAATAAATGCATACATAAATGCATGAATAAATGCATTCAAGCATAAATGAATCAATTAATAAACAAATGCATATGCATTACCGCATATAAACAACTGTATAGATAAAAGCAAAAATAAACACACTAAATGCATAAATTCAAAAATGCACTTCATTCATAGAAAAATGCATAAATAAATGCATATAACTTTATGATGAAAAGCAGCAAATATTCAACACACTACACCTGTATGGCTTGAAAAAATAGCCTGTTACTGGAAAAGTTAATCTAATTTGAAAACAATAGTTGTACAATATAGTGTAGGAAAAACGTAGTGTCACTACTTTTAGCTAGTTACTTTCCAACTCTGTTAATAAGTGGCAGGATGAGTTTGGGATACTATCATGAGTTCATAATGATAGTCCTCAGGGTTTTTAACATGGCAGAGCAAACACACATGTCAATATTAGATATGTATTCTAGCGCTGAGGAAGGAAATGAGGCATCATGACTCTGAGATGATAGAAAATCAGGCCAATCTGCTGCATGATGCTTCACGCAAACATGAGAATGTATTCTTCAGAGCGGTGGTCTTTACCGAAACTGGGACATAAAACACGAGGGAAATTAGAGGATTGATTGATATAGAGCAAATGATTTTAATCTGAAATCTGTGGCATCCAACTTCAAGACCCTCGTGAACCACAGACAGAAGTTATTCGATCAAACGTGATATTGAAGATTGATAATGATTCAAAACACATTAAGTGATCGTATCTATGACATGCTGTTAAGAACCAAATCAATTTATTTAAACTTTACTTTGGAAAAGTTTTTTAACCAGAGCTGTATTTTTCTGGCGCAAAAACAATGAGGATTTTTGAACAGACAAATGCAACCATAAATGCATAAATCCATAAACACATGAATAAATGCATGTCAATAACAGCAAAAATAAATGCACTAAATGCATGATTTAATTCATACATGAATAAACCAAATTAAATAATGTCAACTTTAATTTGAAAGAAAAAGTCTATACAGGGTTTAAAAGCATAAATGTGAAGTTTGTATATTTATTCAAGTATTTGTATTAATTATTGAATGTTATTTAAGCTGTAATATTTTAGTTTGCTAGTCTTATTATTCTTAAGTTATATATTTTTATCTTTTTGAAAGTCTCTTATGCTCACCAAGGTTGCATTTATTTGATTAAAAATAAAGCAAAAATTGTGAAATATTTTTACAATTTAAAATATCTGTTTTCTATGTGATTTTAATTTATTCCTGTGATCAAATCAGAATTTTCAGCATTATTCCTCCAGTCTTCAGTGTCACATGATCCTTCAGAACTCAAATTTTAATCAGATTATTTGATGGTTACTTCAACTGCATTATTTTAGTTTATTTATTTAACATTATTATGTTATATTAAAATGTTATTATATATTTATTGTTTGATGATTATTATACTGCTCATTATTTATTGCAGTAACTGCATTATTTTAGTTTGTTGTTATAAATATTTCTTTTATACATTATATTAAAACATATTATTATGCAAGTTATTCTTATTTAGTTTCTTCTTCTAAACGGATAAATCTGTGTGCATATCATATGATGGTTACCATATTAACCGGTTTAACATGCGTTTAACTGGTAACATAAAATCTCATATTAACGTCACAAACTAAACACTGAATCTAAATGAATGTCTACGGAATTCAAGTGTTTAACATGCATTGGACCCGGATCATTGCTTTAAAGTAGAAATGCATGTTTTAGTTCTAGGTTGGAGCCCAAAAAATCTGTCCTGGATTTCTGGAGTCAAACACAAAAGGTCAGTGAGACAAAATTAAATCAGATGGCAGGAGGTTCTGCTGTCCTACCTGCCAGATCAGCGAAGTCGCCTGTGTGTTGGTGTGTTGGATGAGAGGATGGGACAGTGATGAACAAAAATGAGAGAAGCCAAAGCAGAATTACGTGAGAGATTCAAAATATTAGCAAAAATCACAAGCAGGCTTGTTATCAACACAAAACCAAGCAGTGCACGCTGAAAGCAGCAACGCAAAAGTCAACGCAAGCGAATGAAAATGATTCAGAAGTGAAAATTACATCGATTTGCATAAAGAAATGTGTGTAGACGCCAGGCTGTTCATTAGCTCACGTACCGATCTGACCGGTGGCGATGATGTTGAGATATTTGGGATGTTGATTGACAGTCAGACTGAGGATGTCATCCGTGTGCTCCAGATAAAAGCTCTGAGTTCCTGCAAATCACAAACGCCTTCATCTACAACAGCATGCATGCAGTTTTAATGAGCTCATATTAACAGAAAGACTACATGTACTTTTAAAAAACTGTCACACTGCAATATTATTTTAGTAAACAGCAAAAAAATACTTCTCTCATACACTGCTTCAAAAGTTTCGGATCAGTAAGAGTGAGATTTTTAAAATGTTTTTAAAAGAATTCTCTTCTGCTCATCAAGGCCGCATTTATTTGATTAAAAATACAGTAAAATCAGTAATATTGTGAAATATTATTACAATTTAAAATAACTGTTTTCTATGTGATTACAATTTAAAATGTAATTTATTTCTGTGATGCGCAGCTGTATTTTCAGCATCATTACTCCAGTCTTCAGTGTCACATGATCTTCAGAAATCATTCTAATATGCTGACTTGCTGCTCAAGAAAACATTTCTGATTATTATCAATGTTGAAAACAGTTGTATAAAGTTGAATAAAGCAAGGATGCATTTCAAACTTTTTAAACTGTATATTCTAATAAATTCTATTTAAACTTCAACCTAAAAAATATATAAACTATATATATATATATGAGCAATAACATTAGTTTGAATGTCCGCTGAGGAAAGCCATATCTTTGTTGTACTATCTTTCATCTGTTAAGAGTGATTTCCGATGACAGAGCTGCTCACTGCATTTGTTAACTGCGTCTTACAAGCTGTTGTTGAAAGTAAACACAGCTTCAGTGTTTACAACAGCGTTTCCATCTCTTTCAATATAAAAGTCTCTTTTTGCCATCTAATGGAGGAACAATGTAACTAATAACCATCACGAATACACACACACCGGCAGCGCTCATTTATATAAAATATAACGTGATGAGAGTTTGCTCTCAGCCAAAACTATTTGCTCTGAACAAATAATAGATTAATCAGACCAAAGTCTGTCCGTTAGATTCACCCAAAACGAATTAAATCTCATGTTTAACCACTATAGAGACATCAGAGCCAGCAGCTAATTCCAGAAGCTCTGGCCGAGGTGAGGCTGCTCTCGGCGGGTTCATGAGCGCTGATCGGCCGCTGACGCCCTGGAGCTCACATCTCCCAAAACATAGCAGCAAACTTTCAAATAGACTTTATCTTTATTAACAAACCGCATATTTGAAGTCTAAACAAGTATATTCTCGCCTAAAAACTCTTAAAACTACACTCCGTGACACAAAAACAGTATTATTTATTAAGTTAATAGTGGATTTGGGCGTCTGCCATGACACTCGCTGTGAGAAATACTGCAAGCGGAGTGATACAAACGGTTGGAGTGCTGTTATCACTAGAATATCACACTCCTCTCAGCCAATCAGATTCGAGAACCAGAAAGAACTGTTGTATAAATATATATATATATATGTAATTATACTTCAGTATAATATAATAAAGTACACATTTGATTAATAATTTTTAAATATGTCATGACTAAAACTGGTTTAGTTCATTTAACGTCGTCACTTCTTTTTTTTAAACAGATGTGCAGTTCCAACTGCAGCCTGTAGAGGTCAGCAGCGCCTCATGCCTGATCTGGAAACAGATTAGTCTCAGAAGACACACCCACAATCTCATCCAATGCATAAAGTCAAACTGTACTGCGTTTCCCCTGCATATTAGCCACATGTTGAGACAAGAACCAGACACCAAGCCAGAGGTCAGAGGCCAGCAGTGATGCTGAATCAGGACTGTACCAGCAGAGAGGTTCTGAATAACAGCAGCGGCGGCTGTGTGGAAGATGATGTCAGCTCCATCATTGAGGTAGTGAAGGTTGTTTCGACAATCAAAGCCCCTGTAGCCAAACACGTGATCCAGAGACAGTTCCTACAAACACACACAGACATCAACACACACACTGACAATAATGAGGACAACCCTGACTCCTCATGAGCTCATAACCCCACTGACCTCGACCATCTTCTTCTTCTTTGTGATGTTGTTCTTCACCAGTTTGTCAGGTAACGGCGCGGCGCGGCTCACTGGAGGCCTGTAGGAAACAAATAATGATGCTTTGACATGAATAAATACAATTTGTCCCTCAGTATATTTATTTGTCTTCATTTTCATTATAAACATCCTTAAATCAAGATATATTTACTTGAGATGCAGAATGACTTGATGTTAAGCCTTTCTGATAAATGCATCAAGTTTATGCTTAAAACATGAACAAATATCTGCTTAAATAGATCATCAAAATCTATTTAATTCAAAGGGAAAACAAGTTGATTTTTCTTACCTCACTCACAGATATTTTTCTTGTTTTAAGCATAAACTTGTTTCATGTCATTTTTCGTCTAAAGTAAATTTATCTTGATTTAAGAATTTTTCAATATTTGTAATGGAAAGCAAGACAAAAATACTAAGAATGAAATAACTTTTTGCAGTGATCGCACAGAACACAAAACTTGGGTCTCTTGTTTTCTGATAAATGTATCAAAATGAAGTGAGTTTTTGATTAAAACGAGAACAAATATCTGCCAGTGTGCTCAGAAAAATCTAATTACTTCAAAGGGAAAAGGTTTATTTATTTATACATCTATTTATTTTATCAGATATTTTTCTTGTTTTAAGCATAAACTCACTTCATTTTGATACATTTTTCAGAAAACAAGAATAAAATATCGGTTATTTTACTTCCAACGTAAATTTATCTAGATTTAAAAAAAACAAACAAACAACTATAATGGAAAATAAGACAAAACTACTAAGAAGGGAAATCATTTTTTGTAGTGCTCACGCATTTCATCTGCATTTTTCAGTAAATTTTTTATTACCGCTCATCTACTAGGATCTCCTTCTGTTGTTGGTGTGGTTTCACGCCTGTCATTTGCCGTATACTGACAGCGTAGATCTTCGTCGTGTAATCCATGCTCTTTTCCCGAGCGACGTCACTGTCGTACCCTAAACACACAAATGTTAGTTAAATAAAATTGAAAATGTAAAATAAAATAAAATAAAATAATAAACTAACATTTAAATTTAGAATTCACATTGAAATTATAAATAAATGTAATCACAAACAAAAACAAGAGCATCACCTCCATCCTCCTCAGCGTCGTCGTCTGATTCCTCGCTGTCCACGGCTTTGCTCTCGCGTGGACCAATCCCCTCTCTCGCCCAGATCATGAGGGCCGAGTCGGCCCCGCCCACCGACAGCAGCATCGCGTCGTCATTGGACCATCGAACGTTCGTCACATTGGCACTGTGAGCCACATACTTTTTAAACTTGGCAAACTGACCCTGTATAAAATAAAACAAAGCATCAATAAACTACGTTCGACTTGTTTTATGCAGAAACCTTCAAAAGTTATTATTTTTTAAATTTTCATATTCATATTTTTATTCAGCGTGGATGCAATTTTGCCACTTTTACAATATAATAAATAATAAATAATAAAATATAATAATAATGCTGTTCTTCTGAACTTTCTATTAATCAAAAATTGATTGCGTTTCCACAAAAATATTAAAGGCACAATATTGTAAGTTTTCGTCGCTAGAGGTCGTATTTTCAAAACAATAACGAAGGCGAAGCTTGATGACGCTATGAAGGAGAGTGGAACGATGGGGGATGTCGTTTTCACCATTCAGAGATGTCCGAATCATGTTCACGGATGTAATGAATCAATTTTTTTTATTACCTGTACCTTCCAAAGTTATTCAAACAATGAATAAATTATATAGAGAACGCGAGCAAAGAACATTTAACGTTACATTGTCAAAGAACAGTATGCCTGACTTCAGTCTAGAGCGAGTTTAAGCACTCTCAGAAAACTCCCCTTATAATCAGTAAAGCTGTCTAAACACTATCTGATGAATTAATCTCCTACTTACATCATACGTACATCTGCACTTTGTTGTTTATGATGAGAGAATACACTCAGTGAGAGCGCGCACTGAACAACAAAACTCTGGTGTTTCAGCGATGACTCATCTTAGTAAAAAATTCGAATTTAGAATATTCGTCGAATTAAAAAAAAATAATAATCCACATTCTAATGCAAAAACGTTGCATTCGAATTTAAGGTCTGGCGCTGTTGCATCAGGAACTACATGCTTGAGGTTCCAGAGCAGTTCGCAATCATTGAACACTGCACATTTATGCCAAGCGACTGCTTATGATCGACTGTAGATTAATTAATGTTTACTTTATTGTGTTTATATTGTAATATGTTGGCTGATGGCTGTAAGAGTGCATATTTCATCCTCCTTATCTGTTTGAATGTGCAGCCAGCAATAAAGCAGCATATACACTTGGGCGGTCAAAAAAAAAAATCAAATTTCGAATATTTGTCGAATTAAAAAAAATTAAAAATCCACATTTGAATGCAAAAACGTTGCATTCGAATTTAAGGTCTGCGTCAGCCATCAGGCAGCCTATCAGTGGCGCACGAGATGCGATGACGATGTTTGTGTCATTGATTGCATTTGAATGCTTTCGTTAGCCTATGCAGTTGAACCCACTAGAGACGGCGCTGCTACGTTGTTCATTCATATATTGCGGAAAACGGGAGCATCAGTGTTGTAAGGATAAAAGAAACTAGAATACTTTGATCTCCCAGATTTAGTTAAACCTAAATTGAATAACTCTGCGCGCTGAAAACACCGAACACGCAAGAGACCTTCATCCGCCACTGGATACCTTCCTTGGGCCAGGTGCGCGGACCTTACAGTGTGGAGATGTTGTTGTTTACGTCAAAACAGAAAACAAGCCGTTCACACAGAACACATATTTATCACATTTTCTACAGGAACATCTATCATTACGTGCATAATATTTTGCTCGATGCGCCCTCTTGTGGCCTCAGGAGAGAAGCCAAAAGCTTTTTCCCCCTAACTGAAATTATGCCTTTTAAATTCGAATTTTGATCATATTTAAGTAGAAAATTCGAATTTAGTTTTTCAGTCATTTTGACAGCCCTAACTCATCTAAACGCCTCTGATTGGCCACTGCGTTCATAAACTCAACAGACACGTGTGTGATTGGTTATGACGTGCAACACTGTAAAAGATTCATGGTGCAACATTGAGCAGATCTAAATTGAATGCTGCAGTCAACACATTAATTTAATTTTCATTTTATTCGCGACTGCTGTAATGGATTTAGTTTAACTGCAGCAGCATTTTTGTCCACGTGTGTTGCCATAGTTTCTGCAAGCGGAAACCGATAGCACGGATATTACGTCATTGATAGGCGACAATGAACCAGGACGAGCCATTATTTAAAATGTGAATTTCTCTGGATTTACAAATCCTTGGGGACTTTTGGGAGAATGTAAGTGCACAACTGCATGAAATATATGTGCAAGTGTTTTTTTGGATATTTTATTACGAAAATCTTACATATTGTGCCTTTAAGTAATTTTCCACATTGACAATAATCAGAAATGTTTCTTGAGCAGCAAATCAGCATCTTAGGATGATTTCTGAAGATCATGTGACACACAAAAAATAGCTGTTTTAAATTGTAATAATTTGTCACTTATTTTACAGTATTTTTGATCAAATAAATGCAGCAGAAGAGCAGAAGAGACTTCTTTCAGAAACACTAAAAATCCAACCCTAAATGCTTTAACCCTAAATGCTTTTTTTTATGCTATATGATGTGATTTTGCTGCTGTCAGACCTTGCAGGGGAAGCTGAAGAGCTTGACGAAGCCAAAGTCGTCTCCAGTGGCCAGCAGCTTCCTGTCTTTGGTAAGTGAAGAGGCGTTGACGAAGCTGAGCGTCGGCCAGATGCCCTCACAGGTGGGACCCAGCACTGACGTCCATGTGGCCCATTCCATCTTCTCAAACTGAACACACACAAACACACAG